TTCATTTTCTTTATTAGTCAGGAACCGCAATCAATCGTGTTATTCCGCACTCAACCGCTCTTCGCGACATTAAGCTCCCTTGAGCCATGCCGTCAATCTTCAGCCTGAGCAGCCTCCCCTCCCCCACCGCCGTGCTCTTCCTTATCGTCGGCTTCCAGCTCGGATGGATCTCCACGTCAGTTATCCTGCCAGCGTGGCAGCAACAGCACCAGCAGCAGGGACCGTGCTTGTCACCTGACGACCCCGGATGTGCCAGAGGAAATGCTCTCGCGTTCCTATCCTTCTTCTCTTCCTCCTCGGGCAGTTTGAGTCCCTCTGGCGCGAGAAGCGGCGATCTTGGTTCTGTTAACGGAGAGCCTTGTAACGCGTCGCTGGTGCTGCTGAAGCAGCAGCAGGACGCTATTCTGCAATCCCTGCAGGAGCAGGAGGTGGGGATTCAGAGGCTACAGCAGCTAGTGGCTGCGCGAAACGGCTCCATTGTGAGCGAAATTGGTGCGTGTTACCGCATTCTATCTGTGGATGTCCCTCTTTGGTGTGTGTCGAGTTTCTGTTCACCCAAGCCATCCGTAACACATTGTCATGCCTCACCTGAAAATCCCCTCTCCTGGTTCACCCATCCCTCGTTCTACCCTTCAGCGGAACCGGCCTGCGCCAATGATACCATGCCACGTGTCGGCACAATCTACTGGAACCCGAAGCCCCAGAGGTATGGAGACTGGCCAATGGGGTGAGTTGGCTCACTCACAACGCACCGCTTCTCGTTCCTCCTTCCTGCTTGCCCTCCTCTATCCTGCCCTTCCTGGCTCCTGACTCTCGCCTACCCGCTTCCTCCTCGCTTCCCCTTCTCTTCCCCCTCTCTTCCCCCTCTCCCCCTCCTCTCTTCCCCCTCCCCCCCCCTTCTCTTCCCCGCCTCCCCCTCCTCTCTCTCCCCACACCTCCTCCCCATCCCCCCCAGGTACCTGATAGCGCTGTGTTCGGGGGGGCAGCTGAGCAACCGGCTGGCGTGTCTGCGGCAGAGCATGCTGGACGCGGCACTCATGAACCGCACACTCGTCATCCCCACCCAGGGCATCGACTACGACTACGAGGCGCTGCTAGGTGCGTGCACGCGGTGCACTTATCACTTGTTTTGGGGGTGCATAGGACGCAGTGCTCATGAACCGCACGCTCGTCATCCCCACTCAGGGCATCGACTACGACTACGAGGCGCTGCTAGGTGCGTGCACGCGGTGCACTTATCACTTGTTTTGGGGGTGCATAGGACGCAGTGCTCATGAACCGCACGCTCGTCATCCCCACTCAGGGCATCGACTACGACTATGAGGCGCTGCTAGGTGCGTGCACGCAGTGCGCTTGTGTGCCTGTGCGGCTTTGTGTCTGTGTGGATTGGAGCTTGTTGCTTGTAATGGGGTGCATGGGACGCGGCGCTCAGAACCGCATGCTCGTCATTCCCACAGTGGGTGCCCCATCAGACCCTGGAGCGCTCAGCAAGCGTGTGAATCCCAGCCCGGGCGCATCATCTCTTTCTCTACCTGCAACACCTCAGTGCACGGCCGTGTGCACGCGGGCATGGGGCGCTGCTGCATCTGCCACATTCTCCACTTCGCAAAAAGACAATACATCCTCCTGTCTTCCCCCATGCCCCATCAGACCTGGGGGCGTTTGACGAGTGCATGGGTCCCATCACCTTCTCAGCCTGGGGGCGTGTGCGTGTGGCCTATTCGACTTTTCAAAAAGGCGATAGATCCTCCTGTGACCTGTCTTCCCCCACGCCCCATCAGACCTGGGGGCGTTCGACGAGTGCATGGGTCCAGGGCGAGTCATCACCTTCTCAGCCTACAACGCCTCAGTGCGCGGGCGGGCGTTTGTATGTCGTCTGGCCCGATCTGCCACTTCATGAGAATCTTAAAGAAGACTGGACGTCCTCCTCCTGGCATCCCCTCCCCTGTGCCCCATCAGACCTGGGGGCATTCGACGAGTGCATGGGTCCCGGCCGCGTCATCACCTTCTCAGCCTACAACGCATCAGTGCGCGGGCGCGTGCGAGTAGGCCGCTACATCTGCCACGTGCACGTGTACCAAACCGACCAAGCCTGTGACTCTCTCCGCCTCTCCTCCTGTCACCCCCTGACCCCCACCAGACCTGGGGACGTTCGACGAGTGCATGGGTCCAGGGCGAGTCATCACCTTCTTAGCCTACAACGCCTCAGTGCGCGGGCGGGCGTTTGTATGTCGTCTGGCCCGATCTGCCACTTTATGAGAATCTTAAAGAAGACTGGACGTCCTCCTCCTGGCATCCCCTCCCCTGTGCCCCATCAGACCTGGGGGCATTCGACGAGTGCATGGGTCCCGGCCGCGTCATCACCTTCTCAGCCTACAACGCATCAGTGCGCGGGCGCGTGCGAGTAGGCCGCTACATCTGCCACGTGCACGTGTACCAAACCGACCAAGCCTGTGACTCTCTCCGCCTCTCCTCCTGTCACCCCCTGACCCCCACCAGACCTGGGGACGTTCGACGAGTGCATGGGTCCAGGGCGAGTCATCACCTTCTCAGCCTACAACGCCTCAGTGCGCGGGCGGGCGTTTGTATGTCGTCTGGCCCGATCTGCCACTTTATGAGAATCTTAAAGAAGACTGGACGTCCTCCTCCTGGCATCCCCTCCCCTGTGCCCCACCAGACCTGGGGGCATTCGACGAGTGCATGGGTCCCGGCCGAGTCATCACCTTCTCAGCCTACAACGCGTCAGTGCGCGGCCGCGTGCGAGTAGGCCGCTACATCTGCCACGTGCACGTGTACCAAACCGACCAGGCATGCGACGCGCTGCGCCTCTCCTACGAGGCCCGCCTGCACGCGTCCTTCGCCAAGCACGAGATCGCCCGCAAGCGCACGCCCAGCCCGTGGTTCAAGTACCCCACCGCGGAGTTTCTCCGGAAGTTCCACGGGGATCACCACGTGATTGCGTTTGCCAACATGTTTGGCGTGGGTGGGAGGGAGCTGAGGTTCCATGGGAGAGCGCCGCTGGTGGTGCGCCCGGAGTGCCGCGGGCTGCTGCAGCCCAGCCGGGCGATTCAGGAAGCGGCTGTGGGGTTTATAAATACGTTCCTTGGCTCGCGCTTCATTGCTATTCACCTGCGCAGGTACAGCTGCTGAGCCACCCAGAGGTTTGCCTTGTCCGTATTCATTGTCAACCATTTTATACGCTCCCTTTCGTCCTCCCCCGTTCTCCGCAGCCCCCTTCCCATCAACACCCCCTAACCCCCTCTCCATCCCCCCTCCTCTCTCCCCTCCCCTCTCCCAGGGGCGACTTCTTCCACCACTGCATACAGGGGGATGGCAGTCGCAGGGCGGTGCCATGCTTCCACCCCATCCACCAGCTCGCCCGCTGCCTGCACTCGCGCCTGCAGGCGCTGCCCGGCGCTGCTATGGTCTTTGTGGCCAGCAATGCTGGGGAGGAGGAGATGCGCGCCCTGTCAGAGACACTGGCCACACTCGTGAGTGGGGGAAAAGGGAGGGGAGGAACGGATTGGCCAAGAATCAGAGGGATGGGGTGAGGTTTGGGGGCTTTTCTCCTTCCCATCCGCGTGGTGTTTGTGGCGAGCAATGCTGAGAGAAGCAGATGCAGGTGCAGTCAGAGATATTCGCAATGCTCGTAAGTGGAACAGAGTAGGATGGGCAAAGCGCTATTAGTGATACTTATACTTCGTCCTACCGCCATGGCCTCCTTGTGCCCCCACTGTGTCTGGACGCTCCCTTTTCACTGCTCCTGCTTGTCCACAGGGTTCCCCACATTCTTTTGTGTCATTGCCACCGAGCCTCAAGGGCCAGGCTTGGGCCGAGCCACTACTCAGCCTGGGCCTGGAGAGCAACAGGGAGGTGGTGTCGTTTCTGGATAAAACCATCTGTGCTCTCGCACTCAAGTTCTATGGCACGTCAGGGTCCACATACTCCCATGACATCATGCGGTAAGACACATTGCAATTGCAGCCCTGATGTGATGTGATGTGGTGTGCGTTCATATGGTTTGATCGATGCATTCTTCTCAAGTGTGGTTTCCCTGCCCAAGGCGATGTGCACCTTGTTGTGATATTGCAATGCATGCTTATGCTTTCGCCATTTGCCTTGGCAGGTTGCGGGAATGGTGGCGAGATGACCACTGTGAAATGTACATCTGCCCAGAGACTCTGCCATCCGAGATTTCTCACATACACCCCAACCTCGCTAGGAGATTGCAGCCTCCACCTCAGGAGGCCGCAAACAGTGTGAATGTTTCTGTAAACGGGACAAGGGACAGGAATACAACATCGTAACTGTAAGGTTAGGTGCTGGACCCTAGACCCATCAATGCCTGAAAGGTATGTATCAGTTGATGTTGTCCTAAGAAGAGCGCCTTGTTAAAAGCAGGATTCACCTGACAAATACCGGTACACTGTATTGCTTACATTGTTGGTCCTAGCCTTGTATCGCGTCTGTCCAATGACCCTGAGAACATACAGTATCTAAGGACCGCAAACTGTACGTATCTCCAACGCCGGCAACACCCCCGTCGTGCTCCCTTGTCCGCTCTGAGAAGTCGTTCAACAAGGAGCCTTATCTAGACGCACAAGCAAACAACACACTTGTAAGTTTGCCTTAGCAGTGCTCACCTACGCTTGGATTTTAAATCGGTTATTCGTTACCAGGCGCATGAACCTCTTACGCTTTGCATTTCTCTGCGCGTTGATCGGACGGTCCTCGACGTGTGTCTAGTCCATCTAGCCGCTTCTGCGACTCTCTGAGCGAGTCCAAAGTGACCTTAGATTGAGTGCCTCGAAGGTCGTACGCGTGTCCCGACTCAAAGGTTCTTGTAGTAGGAGCCATTGCCGAAAATCACGTCTGTCGTTACGTTTATTAGCGATTGCATTCACATCTACCCTGAAACATCTCGCAATCTCGATATTCCCATGTCTCACACCATCCTCACTCCTCCGTACCGCAAATGACCGTTACGCTGCTGACTGCAAATGGTGGCGTCAGAATCCGGCGAGTACGAGTACGAGCCGTGGGCCGAGGAGCGCCGCGAGCGAATCCGACGGCGAGAGGCCATCCTCAATGCCGTTCCGATCACCCCCTCCTCCGCATCCGCCGCTAAATCATCTCCACGCGCATTGGCCGCCGCAAGAGCCGGCGCTGGCGGACTGACGGGCGCGAGCGGCGCGGCGGAGGAGCTTAGCTCGCCGTCGAAGACGAAGGAGGGGAAGGAGGGGAAGAGCGCGGAGAGGCGAGACACGTGGGGGGACGAGAGCGGGGTTGCGCGGACGATTGCTCGGCCAATGACGTTCTTGCGTAGCGTGGTGCGCGCGAGGCGGGGCTGAGGAGGGGGGAGGGGGGGAGTTCGTGTGACTGGATGGGGGTTGGTTTGAGTGAGGATTGCCGATGTTGTGAAAGTGCGGTGTGGCGTTTGGTGCCCGATGTGACAATGTGGGGGGGTGGGGAGGGGAGGAAATGGTGCCTGATATGACAATATCGTAGGTTTTCTGTACCCACATATTATTTGTGCGAAATCCGCTTCCACATCTTTCTCCAAGTCCTCCCATGCCTCCTCCCATGCCTCCTCCCATGCCTCCTCCCATGCCTCCTCCCATGTCTCCTCCCATGTGTGCACATGCACGCCAGGCGCGGTTCTACTGCACCATCTTCCTCCTCTTCCTCCTCCTCACAGCCTGCCAGGTGCGCCTCTCACTGCCTGCCAGGTGCGTCTCTCACCGCCTATCAGGTGCGCCGCTCTCTGTTCCTATTATCCCATCGTATTCCACCACGCCTTGTCAACACCGCCCTTTCCCCTGCCCCTTCACCATTTCCTCCAAATCGCCCCCTTCCCCACGCCTTCCCTCACCCAAACCCCTTCCCACAACCACCCCCTTTCCCGCGCCACCCCCACCCGTCTGCGCCCCGTCAGGTGTATTTCATCCGCCATCCGTGTGTGCCCCCAACCCCACTCACCGCGCCCGTGTGGTGTGACTCCCATCCCTGTGTGACTCCCATCCCTGTGTGACTCCCATCCCTGTGTGACTCCCATCCCTGTGTGACTCCCATCCCTGTGTGACTCCCATCCCTGTGTGACTCCCATCCCTGTGTGACTCCCATCCCTGTGTGACTCCCATCCCTGTGTGCCTCCCATCCCTGTGTGACTCCCATCCCTGTGTGACTCCCATCCCTGTGTGACTCCCATCCCTGTGTGACTCCCATCCCTGTGTGACTCCCATCCCTGTGTGCCTCCCATCCCTGTGTGACTCCCATCCCTGTGTGACTCCCATCCCTGTGTGACTCCCATCCCTGTGTGACTCCCATCCCTGTGTGACTCCCATCCCTGTGTGACTCCCATCCCTGTGTGACTCCCATCCCTGTGTGCCCCCATCCCTGTGTGTGTGCCCCCATCAGGTGTATTTCATGTGGACGGAGGAGCTGGGGGCGCTGGAGGTGTCGTCTATAGGCCTCTCGTCGCTGCTCAACGCGGTAAGAACGGGGGAAAGGGGGCGAAAGGGGAGGTGGGGGAGGTGAAATGCGAGGGGGAAGGTTGGGGGGTGGGCCAACGCGAGGGGGGAGGAGTAAGACGAGAGAGGGGTGCAAGTGACGCAGGTCTGAAGCAGGAGCATCTTCCCTTGTGAGGCGGGCACATAGGGGCAGAACCCCGAGGGCACAGTAGGGCATGGCATAGTGCCGCATGCACACCCTGCGTATCCCTCCCTCCCACCCTTACTCCCGTCATCTCTCTCTGTCTCCCTCCCGCCTCCCTCTCCCCCCCTCGTGTGCCCAGAGCAAGCCAGCGAAGCTCACGCGCCGCGTTGTTCTCTCCACCATGGCGAGGGACATCATGGACCTGCAAGGTGGGCTTTAAGCTGCCGTGAGCCTGCCTTGTATTTAAGCTTGACGTGCCTGTTCCGCCCCCATGCACACACATCAAACTGCCTTCACTGCTGCCCGCCTCTCCTCCTCTGCACTCATATTCTGCCCTCCTCTCCTCTCCCCCACTCCTATCCGCATTCCCCTCCCCTTCTGTCCTCCCCTTCTCTTCTCGCCTCTCCTCTTCTCCTTCCCTCTTCTCCTCTGTCCCCCTCCTCCTGCCTCCCTCACGGGCAGCATGGCACAGCTGCAAGAACAGCAGGCACCACTAGGTGATAAAAAACCAGTCTTTTATGAGTCGTCTCAAGACTCGCCTCTGCTCTCCTCCGCTTCTCCCCACCCCCAGCCTCCCTCACGGCCAGCATGGCACAGCTGCAGCAGCAGCAGGCAGCATTGGCCAATCAAACAACCCAGTCGCTGCAGGCCTTGGAAGCGCGGGTGACAGGTGGCAGCAGGAGATTGGTGGACTTCACGCGGGCCATGGGGGAGAAGCAGGCGGGGGAGGTGCAGGGCGTGCGGGGGCGTGTGGAGGAGATGGGGCGCGCGCTGGCCAAGCAGGGCGAGATGCTGGCTGAGCAAATGGCTGCTGTCACCGCTCTCAAGGTGGGTGGGGTGCGGTGAGGTGAGGCAGGGTGGGGTAGGGCGGAGTGGATATGTCATGGCGCTCTGCTGCCCTCAATTTAGGTGGGTGCGTGGAGGAGATGGGGCGTGCGCTGGCCAAGCAGGGCGAGATGCTGGCTGAGCAGATGGCTGCTGTCACCGCCCTCAAGGTGGGTGGGTGGGTGGGTAGGGTGGGGTGGGGTGGGGTGGGGTGGGGTGGGGTGGGGTGGGGTGGAGCACCACACCGCATCTCCATCCACCCTTTCAGGCAGACCTGGAGATGCACAAGGCAAGGCGGCAGCCACCCCTCCCGCCACACCACACACTCTACTACAGCACAGCAGATCACCCTGACCTCTGTTCCTCCTCCCACCCACTGCGCCCCTTGTTACCGCTCTGCACCCCTGTTACCGCACTTTCCCCTCTTAGGCGGATCTGGAGATGAGCAAGGCGGCAGCCAAGCCCCCCACCAACTACTCGCTCTACCACATTCACGGACGACCACCCTCACCTCTGCCTTTCCGTCCCTCCCTCCCACGGCATCCGCTCCCACTGCACCCCCTGTTACCGCACTGCACCCAGGCGGATCTGGAGATGCGCAAGGCGGCGGCCACCCCTCCCACCAACTACTCCCTCTACTACATCACGGACGACCACCCTCACCTCTGCTGTTCCTCCCTTCCTTTCGCTGCACCCCTCCCATTGCACCCCCTGTTATTATACTGGAACCCCTGTTACCGCACTGTATCCCATTCCCCTACAGGCGGATCTGGAGATGCGCAAGGCGGCAGCCACCCCTCCCACCAACTACTCGCTCTACTACATAACAGACGACCACCCTGACCTCTGGCGCCAACGCTCCTTCCGCCGATATGCCTCCTACGGCTTTGTCAAGTACAGGTGAATTTCCAGGTGATTCATCAGGTGAACTGCCAGGATACCAGGTGAATTGCCAGGCGAATAGGTGCTCTGGTTCGTTGCCGTTCGCCCGCTGCGGCGCTGCCCATGCAAGACAAACACCAGCTGTTCTTCGTGCCGCTCCCAATCCCCCTCCTTTGTGTTCGTCTCAGTGCTGCACGGAGCCCACCCATCATCCTAGGCCTGTCAGCGCTGCCGCTGCACGCAGCAGTACGGCCGCCGTCGCAACTGCTGCCACACAACAACGCATAACCTCTCCTTTGCGTTCCCCCGTCCCCTCCCCCCCCTCCCCCTCCCAGCGCCTACCGCGTGTCCCCATCACGCATAGCCATCCTGGGTCTGTCAGCGCTGGCGCTGCACGGATCACACCGGCTGTCGCTGTGCGAGTGGCATGGCGTGGATGGGTCTGTCATCCCCGGTGCCCTAGAGATGATCTACGTGGGCGAGCACCATAACTTCCTGGTGAGACTGACCACTGACAGTCCTAAACCACGCCACCTGCTGCTCACTATGCTGTGCGAGTGGCACGGCATGGATGGGATGGGTCAGTCATCCCGGGTGCCTTGGAGATGATCTACGTGGGCGAGTGGCATGGCGTGGATGGGATGGGTCAGTCATCCCGGGGGCGCTGGAGATGATCTACGTGGGCGAGCACCATAACTTCCTGGTGAGAGCTGTCAACAACAGCACCACCTGCTGCTCGGGTGATCTCCGTGGCATGGTATTTTTTGTGAGTGGCACGGCGTGAATGGGATGGGTCGGTCATCCCGGGTGCCCTGGAGATGAGCACAGCCAGCAGCACCTGCTGCTGCTCAGTGTGCTCTACGACTGACATAGCTGTCTTCTTTTTAGGTGTCTGTCTTCTGAGATGGGTTACGTAGGAAGGGTATTTATTTCAATCTGCCATACACATAGTTGTATGTTTATATACATATATATATATAGATGCTACATATTTAGTAATAGTTTCCTTCTTCTGCTCAACCCCCCCATTCCCCGCGCAGTACGAGGCAGTGGTGGTCAACTGTCTGTTGGAATCACCTGTGCAATCACCTGGGGGCTACCTGAAGGCGCGCATCAACTCGGAGATCCTCTACCCCTTCCGGGAATCCAAGTCCGAGGTACACATGGGGCATGAGGGGTGTGGGCAGGAGGGGTGTGGGCATGAGGGGTGTGGGCATGAGGGGTGTGGGCATGAGGGGTGTGGGCAGGAGGGGGTGTGGGCAGGAGGGGGTGTGGGCATGAGGGGTGCGGGCAGGAGGGTCTCTGCACTTTCCTCTCTACTCTCTACTCTCTACTCTCTGCTCTTTCCTCTCTACTCTCTACTCTCTGCTCGTTCCTCTCTACTCTCTACTCTCTACTCTCTGCTCTTTCCTCTCTACTCTCTACTCTCTGCTCTTTCCTCTCTACTCTCTACTCTCTGCTCTCTGCTCTTTCCTCTCTACTCTCTACTCTCTGCTCTTTCCTCTCTACTCTCTACTCTCTGCTCTCTGCTCTTTCCTCTCTACTCTCTACTCTCTGCTCTTTCCTCTCTACTCTCTACTCTCTACTCTCTGCTCTTTCCTCTCTACTCTCTACTCTCTACTCTCTGCTCTTTCCTCTCTACTCTCTACTCTCTGCTCTTTCCTCTCTACTCTCTACTCTCTACTCTCTGCTCTTTCCTCTCTACTCTCTACTCTCTGCTCTCTGCTCTTTCCTCTCTACTCTCTACTCTCTACTCTCTGCTCTTTCCTCTCTACTCTCTACTCTCTGCTCTTTCCTCTCTACTCTCTACTCTCTACTCTCTGCTCTTTCCTCTCTACTCTCTACTCTCTGCTCTTTCCTCTCTACTCTCTACTCTCTGCTCTCTGCTCTTTCCTCTCTACTCTCTACTCTCTGCTCTTTCCTCTCTACTCTCTACTCTCTACTCTCTGCTCTTTCCTCTCTACTCTCTACTCTCTGCTCTTTCCTCTCTACTCTCAACTCTCTACTCTCTGCTCTTTCCTCTCTACTCTCTACTCTCTACTCTCTGCTCTTTCCTCTCTACTCTCTACTCTCTACTCTCTGCTCTTTCCTCTCTACTCTCTACTCTCTGCTCTTTCCTCTCTACTCTCTACTCTCTACTCTCTACTCTCTGCTCTTTCCTCTCTACTCTCTACTCTCTACTCTCTGCTCTTTCCTCTCTACTCTCTACTCTCTACTCTCTGCTCTTTCCTCTCTACTCTCTACTCTCTGCTCTTTCCTCTCTACTCTCTACTCTCTACTCTCTGCTCTTTCCTCTCTACTCTCTACTTTCTACTCTCTGCTCTTTCCTCTCTACTCTCTACTCTCTACTCTCTGCTCTTTCCTCTCTACTCTCTACTCTCTACTCTCTGCTCTTTCCTCTCTACTCTCAACTCTCTGCTCTCTACTCTCTGATGGCCTTTCTGCCCCTTATGGTCCTACCCATTTCCACCTTCTTCCTTTCCCCATCCATCTCCCACCCACCCACCTCCCCCAGCCCATCACGCCCCCCACAGCCCCCTTCAAGCACCGCTTGCTCTTCTGCGGGCCGCCCATGTACGGTGCCATGGAGCCATGCTCCCCTTCGTAACCCCTTGCTTCCCCCATCCATCTCCCTCCCCCCCTCTTCCACAGCCCATTGCCCCCCCCACGGCCCCCTTCAAGCACCGCTTGCTCTTCTGTGGGCCGCCCATGTACGGCACCATGGAGCCACGTGAACTGCTGGAGTGGCTGGACTACCACCGCGTGTACGCCGCTGCCGACCATTTTGATCCTCTTCCTTTCCCAACCCTCCCTTCCCTTTCCCCCAGCCCATCACGCCCCCCACAGCCCCCTTCAAGCACCGCTTGCTCTTCTGTGGGCCGCCCATGTACGGCACCATGGAGCCACGCGTGCTGCTGGAGTGGCTGGACTACCACCGAGTGTACGCCGCTGCCGACCACTTCATTCTCTACGATGCGGGGGCCGTGGGCGTGGCGGTGCGGCGTGCGCTGCAGGGGTACCTGGCGGGGGGCGTGGTGGAGATCACAGATTTCCGGGAGTCGCAGCAGTGGGACACGTGGCTGTATGGGCAGGTGAGCTTTCCGATTGCATCACACGTGCGCGTGCAGCTCTGCTCATCCAGAGAGCCCTCGTCGTCGTGGGCGTGGAGCGGCGGCTGCTGGAGCGGTAGGGTATCTGGGGGGGGGCGTTGTGGAGTCACACTCTTGCGAAGCAGTAAGGGAACTCTCCTTCCACCCTAGCTGTTCCTTTCATGTTACTCTCCACACTCTTGCCCTCCTCCCCTCCTCCCCTCTCCCTCACCCACTCCTCTCTCTCTCCCTCTACCCTCCTCTTCCCACATCCCCAACCCCCCCCTCCCTCCCCCACCACCAGTCACTAGCCATTCAGGACTGCATGTACCGATCGCGCCGCACAGCCCAGTGGGTGTTCACCTTGCTGTCCTTTCAGCCCTTCCTTTCGCTCCCCGCTCCCGCCTCCCCTCCCCCTTCCTCTCCCCCCATCCCCCATCCCCCCCCCATACGCCACCAGTCACTGGCAATTCAGGACTGCATGTACCGATCGCGCCGAACAGCCCAGTGGGTGTTCATGCAGGACTTCGACGAGTTCCTGGAGCTGCTCCCGCCCCTCACTATGCCTTCTCTCCTAGACAAGTACCGCGACCGCCCCTGGATCACCTACGGCTGCAGCGTTTTCAACATGTCCTTTTGTGTTGATACCCCCCGCGACTCCTCCACCTCGAATCTCCGCCGAACCGGGGACCTTCGCGGCGCCGCCACTGGTGGTGGCGGGCGGAGGGTGCATATGGAGGGGCTGCTTATAGAGAGGATGCATTTCCGGTGGCCGCACGTGTACTGTATGGACACGCAGAAATACCGCCCCGAGCACTGTCTAGACCAGGAGGGGCACCGGAAATACATCCTCAACCCGCGCAAAGTGCAGGCCGCACAAATCCACATAGTGGTCAAAACAGAGGACGCCGGCGGGGGCACGGGGGCCGGCGGAGGGGAGGGTTCGGGGGAGGGATCGGGGGAGGGAGTGGGGGAGGGAGTGGATATGGATACAGATGATATGCGGCTGGCGCATTACAGGGGCCTGGCCACTAAGGGGTCGAGGATGTGTGAGCTTGGGGAGCCCAAGGACTGGTGGATGCGGTACGATCGGGTTGGGAGGATTGCTGCTGCCGTGTGGAACTGCCCCCTCGTCGCCAGTAACCGACAGGTGGGGGAGTCTGGGGCAAGGTTGGAGGGCAGGGGGTGGTTTGGGGGGTGAGGGTGGGGGACTGGTGGAAGATGAATGAAAGGAAGTAGAGGTAAGTGGAGTTGACGGGAAACTGGAGATTCTTGGTCAGCTTGTTTTCCTGCCCGACATGAGATTTTATCTGGTTAACTGTCACACAGTACATTTTTTTCCACTCTGCCCTTCGCTGCCCCTCTCGTCCTCATTTTTCTCCCTTTTCGGCCTCTCTCGACCCATCTCGTCCTCTCTGCCTCTCATTTTGCCCCTCGCTGTACCCATTGTCCCGTGCAGGCATGCACACCGAGCGGCATCGCCACAACGCTTGCAGCTACAGCCAACTCCCCCCCTTCCGCCCGCACGCAGTGACCCGCCAAACTCAGCTTTCAGGATCAACAAGGTGGAATGGTTTCAACTCCTTTCCACTTGCCAGTCTGTCATAGGATACAAAAATAAAATTGCTCTTGCATACCGGTACGGTACCATATAGCAGAACCTGTTCCCTCAGCAGGGGACACCAGTGATGTGGTATGTGAAGGCAAAGAACACAAGGTATAACAACAGCTTCATGCATGCCTGCCCAGGCCAGGCACGGAAGGCACCATGTTGCTTGTGCATGTGCATTGCACAACCCTTTAGATTGCACTACAGTTGGGCATGTGCACAAGATCAAGTATTGATCTGGAACAACAATCTGAGCACACTTTTCTGGTTACCATCTCATTATTGTGTGAGCACATCCGATCAAGACGCATCTGTCTACACAACCTCCTACATACAGTGGCTTTTAGGAGGATCCATCACAAAGAAACCAATCCTTTTCCTCCTTTCCTTTTCCTACTAGGACCACCAAGTTCACTACTCCTATAACATCCTTGAGCAATTCTCAGGGTCTGTAACCCCCCCACCAAGCTCAGTGTTACCGTACTTGGGGGAGAGGCTTCCCTCAAATGCCAGACTTGACATTCCTGCCCATCTGCCCTTTGCTCATCAATCCCATCACCACTATCGGGCCACTTCAATTACTCCTTGGGAGACATGCTTCCCTCAAGGCCCGACTTCACATTCCTGCCGAGTTGCCCCACCTTGCTCATAAACCCCATCGCCCCACTCCTCCTCTTGGGCTTCCCATCGGGGCCGGGCGACAGCGCAGGGGAGAGCGGAGCATCCCCTTCCGCTCCTGCTGCTGCTGCGTCCGAGTCCGTGGGCTCTACGTCACTGGACACTTGCAGAGCGCCCTCCCTGTCCCGGTGCTTCAGGTCACCCATGGACCGTGCCAAGCTGGGCGCCGCACGGGCCACTGGTGGTGCTGCAGCAGCAGCAGCAGCATCAGCATCATCAGCAGCAGCAGCAGGGGCGGTATCAGCAGCAGTGGCAGCAGCGTCAGCAGCAGGGGCGTCAGCAGCAGGGGCGCCAGGAGCAACGGAGACAGGCAGAGCATCATCTGTTGCATCAGAGCTGCTCCTCTGGGACTGCTCCACCACCTTAGTAGACTTCTGTCCCACCTCAGACGAGCGCCGCGCCATGGTTACTCTGGGGGTCATGAGGGCGCGTTCAGCCGCCTCGCGCACGCGCCTCTCGGAGTCGGCAGCAGCGGCAGCCATGGCGGCAGTGGCCTGCTCGGCCGGCACGCTGTGGTCCTTTATGCGCGGCCCACGTGCCTTCTCTGCTGCCGTCACACTGTCCCTCTCCTCGTCCGAGTAATCACGATACGCCAGCTGCACCGGCGGTGTGAAGGGGAAAGGGGAGAAAAGAGAGGCATTTAAGAATCTTCACAGCCTTCTTTGTGCAGCTTTGAGACATCCCACACCCCCCTCCTTCACCCCTCCACCTTCCCCACCCTTCTTTCTGTCTCTCGCTCACCAGCAGAGTGATGCGGCCGAGCTTGTGGTCCTGGCCCAGCAGCTTGCCATCGTGCAGCTTGGGTAGAAAAGGAAGGCCCCAAACACACAGCCCTAGGAGCTCACGTCAAGAGGCAACTGCAACCAATCATCCATCCCCACCACAGCCCCCCCTGTCTCGCTCACCAGCAGAGTGATGCGGCCGAGTTTGTGGTCCTGGCCCAGCAGCTTGTTGTCGTGCAGCTCTGAACCGCCTCACACCTCCCTCACGCCCCCCTCCTTGCCCCCCCCACCGCACGCTCACCAGCAGAGTGATGCGGCCGAGCTTGTGGTCCTTGCCCAGCAGCTTGTCGTCGTGCAGGCGGGGCAGCAGGTCGAGGGTGACCTGATACGGCTCGCTCTTATCCATCAGGTCCGCAAGAGGGAACAGCGCCCACCCCAGATCCGAGTCTTGCATCACATCATCGTCCTCCACCTGCGAGAGGGCGAGAGGGAAGGGGAGAAAGTTAGAGAGTAAGCAGCTCACCCTGTGGCCTCTCATCCGGCCCGCCAGGGGGAACAGCGCCCACCCCAGGTCTGAATCTTGGATCACATCATCGTCCTCCACCTGATGGGGTGGAAGGGGGTGCGGGAGGTGGGAGGATTAAGAGCCGGAGCGAGAGTGGGGGATGTGCTGCAGCAGCTCTACCCCTCTCCCTCGCAGCACCCACCCAGATCCGCGTCCCCCATCATATCATCGCCCTCCGCCTGATGGAGGGGAGGGGGAGGCCCAGCCTCACATGGAGGGAGAGTACGCAGGTGCACCACTATGCCTCTCAGCACCCACCCCGGATCCACGTGCGCCATCATATCATCGCCCTCCGCCTGATAGGGCGGCAGCAGCATGCACTGACGCACCTTAATAGTGAGCTCGGCGGTGTGCGGGTCATCGACAGGCAGCAGGAACGTCTCGTTCCACGAGGGGTTGAGGTTGTTCTTGCACACGCCCGTCTTGGCCATGTGCTTCGGGTTGAGCCAGATTGTGGTGTACGGGTCCGACTTGCCCAGTGTATCCACGTTCTTCACCCCCTCTGCCTGCACCACCGTCACCACCAACTCGCCCTCATACTTCATCTCCAGCAACCTGAGGGGCGTGTGGGGGGGGACGATGATGTGAGCAAGGGAGGGCGCTGGTCAGCTTCGGGTTGAGCCAGATTGTGGTGTACGGGTCCGACTTGCCCAGTGTATCCACGTTCTTTACCCCCTCTGCCCGCACCACCGTCACCACGAGGTCGCCCTCATACTTCATCTCCAGCAACCTGGTGATGGCACACGGGAGAGAGCACAAGGAGGGGGGCGAGAGAGGAGCAAAGGAAGAAAAGGTTTCGTCACTCCCTCTGCTCGCACCACCTGCACCACCAGCTCGCCCTCATACTTCATCTCCAGCAACCTGAGGGGCGTGTGGGGGGGGACGATGATGTGAGCAAGGGAGGGCGCTGGTCAGCTTCGGGTTGAACCAGATTGTGGTGTACGGGTCCGACTTGCCCAGTGTATCCACGTTCTTTACCCCCTCTGCCCGCACCACCGTCACCACGAGCTCGCCCTCATACTTCATCTCCAGCAACCTGGTGATGGCACACGGGAGAGAGCACAAGGAGGGGGGCGAGAGAGGAGCAAAGGAAGAAAAGGTTTCGTCACTCCCTCTGCTCGCACCACCTGCACCACCAGCTCGCCCTCATACTTCATCTCCAGCGACCTGCGGGGGTATGAGGGGAGACGATGATGTGAGCATGGGAGGGCGCTGGTCAGCTTCGGGTTGAGCCAAACGGTGGTGTAAGGGTCCGATACTTCATTTCATCTCCAGCAACCTGAGGCCATGCAGGAGAGTAGAGGGGGAACAGGAGCGCCAAGAGATAGTTGGGGGGGAAGAGAGAAGAAGCACGGGCGATCAGGAAATATTTGTTCAACTCCCTCTGCTCGCATCACCTGCACCACCAGCTCGCCCTCATGCTTCATCTCCAGCAGCCTGATAGTGGAACACGGGCAGGAGAGGGTGGTGTGGAAGAGAGGAAGCAGGGGCGTCAAGTGAAGGGTTCTTCACCCCCTCTGCTCGCACCACTGCCACCACCAGCTCGCTCTCATACTTCATCTCCAGCTCCCTGACACAACACCGGCGGGAGGAAGAGGGGGACGGGCGGGTGAAAGTACTGCTGAGGCTAGGAGGAGCGGCTGTTGAGACAAGGGCCATTTTTTCCAGGGAGCCTGCTGGCAGCACGTGCAGCAGCAGCGTGCCTGGACAGGACATGCACACAGAAGCAGTGTATAAGACACTGTGGCACACGAGAGTTACTGCAGAGGTTACGAGAGGGCGTGTGTGAGAGGGTGTGTTCGAGAGCATGTGAGAGGGTGTGTGAGAGCGTGTGCAAAGGTGTGTGAGATTGTGTAAGAGGGTGTGCGTGGGCGGGTATGAGTGAGAGGAGTGAGGTTGATGTGACTCACTTCTCATCAAAGGCCGGGTTGAGCTTGATGACGATGCGCTCCGGCCACAGTATGACCGACTCCAGCACCGATGCCACCGTGCTCTGGTGCAGCACGGTGAGATGCGGTGCAGTGCGGTGGGAAAGGAGGGCAGGGAGGTGAGGGGAAGGGAGAAATGATGTGGTGAGAAGATGCGAGGGGAGGGGAGGAGGGGGGGGTTGAGTGGAAGGAAACGGAGGAGTGCGAAGGGCATACAACGATACGAACAGACAGGGTGGTTGGGAGGGTGGGATGGGACGGATAGATAAGGAGCATGGATGCAGGAAAACAAACAGAGGGAGCGGCTAACCCAATCTCCTCATACCAGACGGCCTTTCACGTTCCCTCCTCCCTGTCCCCCTTCCTCACATGTCCCCCCTCCACACACTCCCACTCACTCATCACGCGGCACTCTCATTCTCCCTAGCAACCCCGCTAGAAACACCCTCCCTGCCAACCACCACAACCACCTTCGCAGCCAACAAGGCAGCAGGGTGGCGGGAGGGAGGTAATCACGTCAATCTGCTTCTCCAGCCCTGGAATGGCCGCCAGCGATCCCCCCACCGCCTTGAGCACAAAATCTGTTGAGGCCTGGCGGGCGGTACTCGCCTCTACAGACACCCAGCACTCAGCCACCCCCCCCTCCAGCCCCCAGCAATCCTTTTCCCCGGCAATCCTTTTCCCCCAGCAATCCTTTTCCCCCAGCAATCCTTTTCCCCCAGCAATCCTTATCCCCCAGCGACCTGGCGGGCGGTACTCACGTCGATCTGCTTCTCCAGCCCTGGAATGGCGGCCAGCGATCCCCCCACCGCCTTGAGTACAAAATCCACCGTGGGACGCGGCTGGGCAGTGGGCCAGTGGGGGCGCACGGGGAGGGGGCACAGGGAGGTGGCGGGGAAAAGGGGAGAGGGAATGGGGAGAGAGAGGAGGGGAGTGAGAGAGGGGAGAGAAGGGAGGGGAGAGAGGGAGTGAGGTAAAAGAAAGGGGTCAGGGCAGTACGGAGAAGGAGAGGTTAAGGAAGGTAGTTAGGGCAGTACCGTCATTTCATAGCTGTCATTGGCTAACGATCAATTACAGGTTTTCGCCAAATGTAAGTTACGTGTCGCTCGAATTTCGTAATTCAAAAACTAAATAAAAGTTCCACAAATGTGGTCCGGACGGCCTGTCGTCCGGACCTGAGTCCTGAACGTCCGGACGGACGTCCGTCCGGACGGTTTGGAAGCCCCGTCCGGACTTTGGACCCAGACGCAAAAAGTTACACGCCCTTACCTTGCAGCACTGCAAGCACTCACCCTTGCTGTCCCACACACTCATTCTCACCCCACCACGCCCCGCCCCACACACTCCCATTACACCACATTGCATCGCACCCCAACACACTGCACTGCACCGCACCACACTGCACCGCTCCGCACCGCACCTTGCGCAGAAGCGAGGCGACGACAGCGTCGATGCAGGGCATCTGCTCGCCCAGCTGAAAAATGAGGCGCAGCGTGGCCCGGAACACCAGGTTCTTGACCTGGTGGGGGGAGAGGGATGGCGGAGAGGGGGCGCATGCGGTGGGGCGGAAGAGAGGGGAGGGGAAGGAAGATGAGGCGCAGCGTCGCCTGGAGCACCAGGTTCTTCACCGGGGGGGGGGGGGGGGGGGGGGAGGGGGGGGGGGGGGGAGAAAAAGGGGGGGATGGGGAGAGGGGAAGAGTGGGGAAGACGGGGGGGAAAAAGGAGGAGAGGCGGGGGGGAGGGGAGAGTGAGGGGGAAATGGGAGGAAGATGAGGCGCAGCGTGGCCTGGAACACCAGGTTCTTCACCTGCAGGGGTGAAGAAAAAGGGGGGCGATGGGGAGAGGGGAAGAGTGGGGAAGAAGGGGGGGGAAACAGGAGAGGAGGGGGAGGGAGAGTGAGGGTTAAAACGGCGGGAAGATGAAGCGCAACGTGGCGGGAACACCAAGTTTTTCTCTTATACCCGCACCCCTGCCCTCACATTCCCCACTCTCTCACCCTTTTCTCCCTCACACCCCTCACTTCCTCGCTTTCACAAAACCCCACCGGTCCCTCCCACGAGCTCGCGTGCGCACCTGCACTTGCAGGGTGACAGCAGCGGTCTTGATGTTGAGAACAATAGAGGCGTCGCTCTGCCAGTAGATGAGCAGATCCAACTCCCCCCCCACTCCCTCACATCCCCCACTCCGTCACGCATCTTACTCCCCCACAACAACCCACCCCCCACCCCCCCCCCAACGCACTGCGCTCTCCCACGTGCGCACCTGCACTTGCAGCGTGACAGCAGCAGTCTTGATGTTGAGAACGATGGAGGCGTCGCTCTGCCAGTAGATGAGCAGATCCATTATCACCTGGTCCTCCTCCGCTCCCGTCTTGTGCAGCTTGATGCCTGGGGGATGGGGGGAGAAAGGGAGGGAAGGAGGCGGGTTCTCTTCTCTGAGGTGGCTCAGGAGCAGTAGATGAGCAGATGGCGGTGGCTCCTTCAAACTGCGGTGGCTTGTCATGGCCTTTGGCCAGTTTACACCTGTACAAGGTCATCAACGATACCATGGACGGGCGGTTGGGCTTGCGAACGACTCACACAGCATGCACACACACTCACACTCACACACTCAAACTTACCCTCACACTCACACACTCAAACTTACCCTCACTCACACACTCACACTCGCACCCGAACTCACACTCACAAGACAGTCGTACACAGGGGGAGATCATCTTACCTTCGATGTGCGGCGCCTTCTCGCGGTCCTTGCCCAGTTCGAACTTGTGAAAGGTCATTGACGACAGGACACCATGGAGAGGCGGGCGACCGTGCAGTTGACTCACAACACAAGGCAGTGGCACGCACACACATGCACTCTCACGCTCACGCACCTTCGATGTGCGGCGCCTTCTCGCGGTCCTTGCCCAGTTCGAACTTGTGGAAGGTCATGGACGAGACGATGGAGGGGCGGTTGGCCTCCAGTATTGGCTCCATGGTCTCGCGCACCACCTGACTCGTCGCCTTGTTGATGTGCGGCCACAGCTCCGATAGCATCCGCGTCACCCAATCCGCCTGCACGCGCAGCGACGACGACGGACAGCGGTGACGGGTGGAGAGGGGCGACGGGTGGAGCAGGGACATGCGACGGGGGACAAGGAAGGAGGAGCAGCACAGATAAGCGATTGAGCAAAGCAACGAAGGAGGGAGGCAGCACTGTGTGTTCGAGGGGATGACAAGAAGGAAGAGAATGAGACTGAACGAAAGAGATGACAAACATTCGTCAGCAAATTTGATGATACCTAGTCGAATCCCATCACATCTCGTTCAAGCCAATCCCATCTCGTCAAATCTAACCATACCACGACGAATCCAAACCAAACGTCATCGCATTGAACCGCACATCATCGTATTCGGTGAACTTGACCCAGGTGGGGCAGAGCGGCCCGCAGATGGCTTTAAGCTCGTTCAACCCGATTCCCTGCACCGCCATCAGGTCGCTCTTCTGCGAAGGAAGAGATGGCGGGAGGGTGTAATCGCCAGGAGGGTGGATGCGGGACAGGCAGGGGGTAGGGGGGTGATGGCGAGAGGGAATGCGAGAAAGAGGAAGTGAATAACGTGAATCGGTAGATATGAAAATGTTACGAGGCGAGGAAGACAGAAAGCGACCAAGAGACAAAGACGGGAATAAGGAAAGCCAGGCTTGGGAGTCAGCGCCGAGAAGCGAGTCGAGTTGCGAATCGGCTGACGTGACATTGAGCAGGACCACGCCAGCAAATCACGGCATTAGAAATCCGGGACATTAAGACGCTGCGTCACTACCGTCGGCGTTAGCGATGCGACGAATTTCGTAACCTATATCCGTATAACCAAAAAGACAACGAGTGAGCCGTCAAGCCCTGCCAAAAATCACGTCAGGAACGGCGTACGAGAATAAATGAAAATTATTAAGAAATGTACCACAGCGTTCCTCTTGGCCTGGCGGACGGCCATGAAGTAGTTCCAGGCGTACATGATGACCACGCCGATCACCAACCCCACCAGCACGCTCGACACGAACCCCATGCCTGCTTCTCGCGTCGCCGCCGCCTCGCGTCACCGCCGAGAAGCTACGTACGCTAACCGAGGGATTCGCTCCACGGGAGCCGCCTAAGCTACGCCCGGATAGAACGCCTGACTAGGCGAAAATCTGCCTTGTTTTCAGCAAGGTGCCTGAGTATCCTGCGTGGAATGTGTGTGGATCCTATCCATGAAGCAGACACAGATGGCAATGCACTGCTGTGGTGAGGCGGTCAAGATTGTGACATTGCGCTTTCAGATTGAGCTCGGGCGCACAAGTGGGTCAGGTCGGGTGGGGCGGGGCGGAGGTGGGGGGCGGAGCGGGGCGGGCGGAAGGACAGTCGCTGCGACTGGACTGGACGGTGCCATCGTAACATTTCGACATTCGCGTTGCGATATAGAGACATTGCTCCCAAAACGAAGCGAATTGCAGAAGATCTTAGTGACAAAACCACTATGCTTAAACTACATGCTTTACAAGGTGCTTTTAGGCAACTCAATAAAGGAACAGTACTATACTAGGCAAATTTGCAGCTTTATAGATATCAATCTACATACAGTGGGCTACAGCAACTCTGGGAAGAACAGTGGTGGTAAACCACACTGCCTTCACAACCTCATCTCCAGACCCCAAGCAGTGTCACCAAGTGGTATACCACCACCACTGCTCCAAGCACCACCACTCGTCACCGCACACCACCAACCAACACCTCCACCACCACTTCTCACTACCAGCACCTCCATCCAGGAGGCTAGGTGCCACTCCCTCACTGCCAGCCAGCAGTGCCACTGCATGGCATGGCATGGCATGTCACCACCACCACTCCTCACAGAGAGGAGTGCTGTGTTGTGAGGCAAGGCAGAGTGCTAGTGGAGGGGGGCTGAACCCCCTGGGTAAGGCGAGAGCAAGGAAAAGGGAAAGAGGTTGAGCCTCCCAGAGCATGGCTTGTGAGAGGCAAGAGAAGAGGACTGGAACCACCAGACCAAGGCAAGCTAAGGACAGAGGAGGGGGTTTCCTCTGCCCCTTGCTTGCCTCAGCCTGGGGATTCCAACCCCCCTTCCCCCTCTTGCCCTCACAAGCCTTGCCCTGAAAGGCCAACCTCCTTCCCCTGCCTTGATCTCCCCACCACTCCCCACAGCCACTCGCCAGGAGCACCACAGCAGCAGCAGCAGTGAGGCTATGAGCCAGCCCAAGACCTGAACCCTCACCGACGTAGCAAGAGGGGAGCCCCACCAGACCCCCGGCCGCAGGGCCTGGTGTTCGTCCATTATGCCTTAACGTGCGGCTATTGGAATCCAGGCTTGAAACTGACTCACAACCCCACTGCCACCCCACCTCCACCACCACCACCACCACCACCACCACCACCACCACCACCACCACCACCACCACCACCACCACCACCGCCGTCACCACCAACAGCACCACCACCACCAACCCCAGAGGGTACCTGTCAGGGGGGAGGGGAGAGAAACAAAGAAATAGAAGCACTGGAGCAGCAACGGAGAACGAGAACTGAAGAAGAATGAAGCATAATGAGAAAGCAAGTGAAGCTGAATGTTAGAAAGCAAGAGAAAGGCAAGAGCTAGAACGAGGCTTGGTGTCTTTCCTTGCGCACAGCAGCGAGCCCCTCAGTCCGCCAGTGGCAGTAATAGCCCGCTCAGCAGCAGAAGTAGCGTGAAGCTGACCAACACCACCAACGCCGCCACCACCACCAACGCCACCATCAGCACCACAGCCGCCACCCACCACCGCTGCCGCCGCCGCCTGCGCCTCCACCAGTAGCAGCAACCGTGGCTGAACGCACAACAACTTCCCCTTCCAGCGGCGGTACCTGTCAGGAGGAAAAAGAGCAAATAAGTTAGTTATCCCAGAGGTGAAATCACTGGAGCAGCAAAGGACGGCAAGCAGCGCGATGAAGCAGAAATGAGAGCAGCAGAAGCCAGAACAGCTGAAGCAGAATGAGAAAGCAAATGCAGCTGAATTGAGAAAGCAAGTGAGAGGCGAGAAGCAGATGCAAAAGCATGCAAGGATGAGGTGGGAGGCTTGTTGTCTTACCTTGCACACAGAAACGGGTCCCTCAGTCCGCCAGTGATGGTGACAGTCCAGGCCGCAGCACCAGCAGCAGCAGAGTGGAGTGGAGAGCAGAGAGGAGAGCCAAGGTACCTGCCAGGGAAGGAAGGATGGGTAAAAAACACAAGTGAGTGGAGGCAATGAAGGCACATCCAGAGAAAGCGACATGCCAAAACAAGCACACATGCGTACAGGAATGAGCTCTGCTGCTGCGCACACCCATGGGAATACCTTTCTGTAGGGGTTATACCCTAAACCTTGCAGTCTGAACCTGTTACCTGGGGAGCCCTAGGGCGTGCTACAGGCAGCTAGAGCGATGCGAGATGCATGAAAGCGAGACATTGCATAAGCAAGAAAAGGCGGAGGCAGAGAGGGAAGGAGCGGAGGTACTCATCTTGTCTCTTGGGAGGAGCGTGTGAGAGGCGGTCGGGTTGGAGCAGCCAAGGAAGAGCGCCCTACGGCCCGCCAAGTCGCTGCATGCGGGTCCAGAGAAACCTGCCAAGGGGGACGGGGGGGTTGGGGGGGGGTTGGGAGGGCAGGGGGTGGGAGTGGGAGTGAGGGGTAGGTAAGTGGGACGGCAGGAGAAGGATTGGAGCAGAAAGGGTTAATGTGCGTGGCATGAGTGGAAGTGTAGGGAGCACTGCTCTCGCACACCCAAGGGGGTACCTTCAGTAAAAAAAAAAACCTGGTGGGGGGTATACCTGACCTATCAGTGTGAACCTAAGACCTGGGGGAACCCTTGAGTGTGGTGCGAGCAGGTGGGGTGACATGAGGAATGCGTGGGCGAGATAATGATGGATGATGAAAAAATCAAAGGCAGAGGAGGTTGAGGAGAGGGATGGCGATACTCATCTGTGAAGGCAGCAATGTCGTCCGCGCAGGCAGCAGCATCGTCCGCGCAAGCAGGAGGGATGTCCGCGCAGGCATCGAAACTGGAGCGAGGGTGGGGGGAAAGGGGTTGAGTTAGCGCCAGTGGAGGGAGAGGAGCAAGAGGAGAAGAACGATCCAAGCAGAAGGCGTGAGACAAGCATGCACGAGTGGTCATGACACGAAAGCAGCGCCGGCAGCAGCACACCCAAGGGGGGAACCTTAGTCTGAAACTTACCAGCCTGTAAGCACACCTGGGCTAAAGCATTTTGCACCTGCAAAGGGGGTACCGATCTTACCAGTCCGAACCTGATACCTGGTACCAAGGGGTTGGGTGTGCGGCTGAGCAGGCGAGCAGCAGACATGCGAAGTGAAGGTGATACGGCGGAGAACATGCATGCGAAATGTGCGCGTGAGGAGCAGAGAGCAGAGGCGGGTGCTTATCTTTCGAAGGCGCTCGTTGACTGAAGCAGAACGGCGTTGACTGAAGAAGAATGGCGTTGACTGAAGCAGAACGGCGTTGACTGAAGGAGAACGGCGTTGACTGAAGAAGAACGGCGTTGACTGAAGGAGAACGGCGTTGACTGAAAGAGAACGGCGTTGACCCGAGCAGAACGGAAGTTGAACCGAGCAGCACCAGGGACGTTCAATGGACGCAACGCGCCTCTGCAAAAGAACGGGGGAGGGAGGTGCAAGGGAAGGGAGTGAGTGCAAGGGATGAGACGAGCGACGACGGGAATAAAACGAAAGCGCGAATGAAACGAACAACGAAGGCTTGGCTGCTGTAGCACACCCTAGGCGGGGGGGTACTTTAGGCTTAAAAATTTTGCACCTGCAGTGGGGGACTGTGGGAACTATACCTTAAGAGTCTGTACCTGAGACCTGGGGGGAGCTAGGGTGTGCTACAAACAGCTGTAGCGACGTGAAAGATGTGTCAGAATGTTATAATTGTCTAGCCTGCAGTGGGGTACTCTATAGCGAGTACAACCCAATTAGGGTTTCCTATATGTATCTCAACTGCTGCTAGTTCAAACTCTCTTTCTTGTTCTAAACTTTCTACTCGTGTTTCTGACAAGATGGAAGGACCTTAGTGCGAAGTGATACTCATCGTAAAACGCGCTCGGAGAAGCTCGGTCGTTGGCGCGCCTTCACGGACGCGTGGACATCGAGTCGCTGACTGACGCGCCAGCACGCGACGTTGACTTGAGGCAGCGCGACTCTGCGAAGGAACGGGGGAGGGAGGTGCGAGGGAAGGGAGTGAGTGCAAGGGACGAGACGAGCGACGACGGGAATGAAACGAAACCGACAATGAAACGAACGAATGTAACGAACCACGAAAGCTGCTGTAGCACACCCTAGCGGGGGTTTACCTTAGGCTTACCATACCAAGGCCATACCTGCACCGGGGTTAATTTTTTTGCACCTGCAGTGGGGGACCGTGAGAACTATACCTTTAAATCCATACTTGAGACCTGGGGGGGGGCTAAGGTGTGCTACAGGCAGCCTCAACGAAGTGAAATGCAAGAAAAAAGACCTTGCTGTTGGGGGGATACTCATCGTTAAACGCGTTCGGAGAAGCTCGGCTGTTGGGGTGAGGCAGGTTGGACTAGAGATGGGTTGGGTCGTTTGAGGCAGAATTGGTGAGAATGGTTAGGATGGTAAAAGATGGATGTAAGAAGTTAGGATGGTAGAAGATGGATGAGAGACTGGGAGGTGTAAGGATGGGAAAGAGGTAGCCTGATTCCAGAACGTGATTAGATTGTGCATGGCAGAACGTGGGTAGTGGTGAGCATCCTTAGTGAAAGCCTCTTGAATAAATTTTTATTATGAACTTGTATTAATGCTTAAGCTAAGGAATTGTAGGAACTTGCAGTTTTTTCTCGCACAAGTAGCAATTTTTAGGAAACATATCAAGAAGATTCTTACTATCCATACATGAATTAAGGGAACTTAATTTCACCATGAATCTGGAAACTGCATTTTTTGTAGTGACACACTCAATACACTGCACGGTAGTCGTATTCTCGAATCCATCCAGGTCCTAAGGCACCGAGGGGATACTGTACTGTATTCTGCTGATTGCTCCCGAATCTTCTTCTGTACGAACCTAAGTCTGACATCGCACCAAACCTCCTGTTTCCCTCCAAAAGTTTCAATGTTTTGCTCTGAGTTATCCGGCAACTGCCTCGGTCACCAATGCCCACTACTCTCTAATGATCCGAACCTCCTCCCTAGTGAGCTCCTGCTCCCTCACTTCGAAAGCATGGAATGTAGCGGCCAGAATTCAGCCGTTCTGCCACTACCAGTTGAAGCAAGGGATTGCCGTCACCTCCCTTCTTCGCTTCCATAGCTTCACCAGCAGATCTTTCAGGCTTCGCTCTTAACTCCAGGTCCAGCTAAGTGAGCTGCTGGTCGCACTAGCCCTAACTTCACTCGCATACCTGCACTAACCGAACGATTGCTTTGGTTTAGTTGACGCGACTCTGTCTGCCGAATTTAGTTAGGACGTTGTGAAGTCGCTAAGCTGATACCGAGTTAAGGCTAATACGACGCTAAGCTGCTAGTTCAGACGTTATTCAGCGTCGCTGCAGTTCATTAAAACGACGTACCCGTTATATATACCAGAAAAATGGCGTCGTCACTGCTATAGCTATCGAGGTTTAGCTGCTGCTTCTGCCGACAAAGTGACGTCGCTGCTGTTGCTGCCGATAACAACTTCAACTACGGTTTCCGGCGTCTAAAGCGACGTTTAGGGCGTAGTTGTTTTGAAGCTGACGTTTTAAACTAGCTGACGTTTTAAACTAGCTGACGTTTTAAACATAGCTGACGTTTTAAACATAGCTGACGTTTCAAACATAGCTGACGTTTCAAACATAGCTGACGCTTTAAACTTAGCTGGCGTTTCAAACATAGCTGGCGTTTTTTCCGTCAAAGCGACGGCGCTGCTCTTTTCGTCGTCAAGCCAACGTTGATGCCATTTCCGCGAACAAAGCGACGTCCCAGCTGCTTTCGCTGTAAACACAACGATACTGTCGTATGAGCCGTCAGAGCGGCGTTGCTCTGACCGCGACGAGGCGAGAGCAACGACTGCAGCAGCAGCAGCAGCAGCAGCAGCAGCAGCAGCAGCAGCAGCAGCAGCATGAGCAGCGACGGATCAACCTGGAACACGGGAAGCAGCAGCATGCTGCTTGGAACGAAGGCGTGGCGCAGCAGCAACCGAGCAAACTGGAGCAACGACCGTCAGAGGCAACAGCGCAGTGCTGGTCACGACGGGAGCAACGACCGAGCAGCCACGCGTGACGCTTCAAGTGAAAGCGTGGCGCAGGAGCGAAAGAGCGGTTTAGGGGAGCGACAGGCACATGGTACGTGCCAGGGAAGCTTGCTGGGGGGAAGTGTAGTGAGTCCTAGAGCGTCGCCGCGCAGAGGCAAGAGTCGTGTCTCTTGCCCTTGCCTCCACCGCTCGCCTCTTGCTGTTTCTAACCCTGTCTTGTTGCATCGTTTCTGTGTGGCTGTCTTTCTCCCCATGCATGTGTGTTCCTCACGGCTTGCGAGGCGGACGGGAATGGCAGCGAGTGGGCGGGGAATGGACGGGCGTCCGTTTCTGGCGACCCAGCGAGGAGAAGCGGAAGCGTGGCACAGCAGCAACTGAGCAACCAGGAGCAGCACGCCTGAAGTGAAACCGTGGCGCAGGAGCAGCAGACCGGCAAACGGATCATGGTACGTGCCAGGGGGTGCTTGCAGGGGGGAAGTGTAGTGAGTCTCCGCGCAGAGGCAAGAGTCGCGTCTCTTGCCCTTGCCTCCACCACTCGCCTCCTCTCCTGCTGATCCTAATCCTTCCTTTTGTGTGCGTGTTTTCTCTCCCCATGCTTTTGTGTGTCTCACGGCCTGCGGAATGGCACGGAGTGGACGCGGAATGGCGTGGAGCGCGGAATGGCGAGGAGTGGACGCGGAATGGCGAGGAGTGGACGCGGAATGGCACAGAGTGGACGCGGAATGGCGCGGAGTGGACGCGGAATGGCGAGGAGTGGACGCAGAATGGCGCGGAGTGGACGCGGAATGGCGAGGAGTGGACGCGGAATGGCGCGGAGTGGACGCGGAATGGCGCGGAGTGGACGCGGAATGGCGAGGAGTGGACGCGGAATGGCACAGAGTGGACGCGGAATGGCGCGGAGTGGACGCGGAATGGCGAGGAGTGGACGCGGAATGGCGCGGAGTGGACGCGGAATGGCGAGGAGTGGACGCGGAATGGCGCGGAGTGGACGCGGAATGGCGCGGAGTGGACGCGGAATGGCGCGGAGTGGACGCGGAATGGCGAGGAGTGGACGCGAAATGGCGAGGAGTGGACGCGGAATGGACGGGAGTTGAAGTATCGTAGGGAGTCGCCGTTGCTGGCTCGCTTGGAGTGAAGGCGGGGCATGGTACGTGCCAGGGGGTGCTTGAGGGGTGCAGTGAAGTCTAGTAGGGAGTCGCCGCGCAGAGGCAAGAGTCGTCTGTTTTCCTTGCCTTCACCATTCGTCTCCTTCCTCCTGCTTCTAACTCTCCCTTGTTGCGCCGTTTCTGTGTGCGTGTCTCTCTTCCCATGTGTGTGTGTACCTTACGGCTTGTGAGAGGGAGGCGAATGGCACGGAATGGACGCGGAATGGCATGGAGTGGAGTGCACGGGGCTTACGTTGTAGGCTCGCACGAGGGACAACCCTTCAGCGAGGAGAAGGGGCAGCAACGGCAATTGGCACATCGAAGGCAGAAAGCAACGACTGCAGCAGCAGCAGCAACTGAGCAACCTGGAGCAACACAGCTCAAGTGAATAGAGGGCGTGGCGCAGGAGCAGCAGAGTGGCGGGCGGAGCGTGGTACGTGCCAGGGGGTGCTTGCAGGGGGGCATCAAAGAGAGTCGTAGGGTGTCGCCGCGCAGAGGCAAGAGTCGTGTCTGTTGCCTTGCCTCTACCACTCTCCTATTGCTGCTTCTAACCCTTTCATTCTGCACCGTTTCTGTGTTTGTGTCTGTCTCTCTCCCCATGCGTGTGTGTGCCTCACGGCCTGCGAGTCGACGGGGAATGGACGGGCCTTCGTTGTGGCTCGCACGGGAGACGACCTGGACTGGAGCAGCACGTTTGAAGTGAAATTGTGGCGCAGTAATGGGAGAGCACTGGACGGAGCGGGGTACGTACCAGGGGGTGCTTGCAGGGGGGCAGTATAGCGAGTCATAGAGCGTCGCCGCGCAGAGGCAAGAGTCGTGCCTTTCGTCCTTGCCTCCACCACTCTCCCTTGTTGCATACTTTCTTTGTCGCTGCCTCTCTCCCCATGTGTGTGTGTGCCTCACGGCCTGTGAGGCGGACGGGAATGGCAGCAAGTGGACGGGGAATCGACACGGCTGCCGTTGCTGCCTTGCACGAGAGACGACTGTCCTGCGAGGAGAAAGGGGAGAAAGGGGAGAAAGGGGAGAAAGGGGAGAAAGGGGAGAAAGGGGAGAAAGGGGAGAAAGGGGAGAAAGGGGAGAAAGGGGAGAAAGGGGAGAAAGGGGAGAAAGGGGAGAAAGGGGAGAAAGGGGAGAAAGGGGAGAAAGGGGAGAAAGGGGAGAAAGGGGAGAAAGGGGAGAAAGGGGAGAAAGGGGAGAAAGGGGAGAAAGGGGAGAAAGGGGAGAAAGGGGAGAAAGGGGAGAAAGGGGAGAAAGGGGAGAAAGGGGAGAAAGGGGAGAAAGGGGAGAAAGGGGAGAAAGGGGAGAAAGGAAGGGGAGAAAGGAAGGGGAGAAAGGAAGGGGAGAAAGGGGAGAAAGGGGAGAAAGGGGAGAAAGGGGAGAAAGGGGAGAAAGGGGAGAAAGGGGAGAAAGGGGAGAAAGGGGAGAAATGGGAGAAAGGGGAGAAAGGGGAGAAAGGGGAGAAAGGGGAGAGCAACCTGGAGCAGCACGCCTCAAGTGAAGGCATGGTGCAGGCGTGGTACGTGCCAGGGGGTGCTTGCAGGGGGGCCGTGAATCGTAGAGCGTCGCCGCGCAGAGGCAAGAGTCGTGTCTGTTGCCCTTGCTTCCGCCACTCGCCTCCTGCTGCGTCTAACCCTCCCTTGTTGTGCCGTGTCTGTGTGGCTATCTCTCTCCCCATGCGTGTGTGTCTCTCTCTCCCCATGCGTGTGTGTGCCTCGTGTCCTGCGAGACGGACGGGGGTTTCAGTGAGTGGACAGGGATCACCAGTGGCTGCAGCGACTGCAGGATAATGACGAGCACACAAGAGGTTGTGATTGGATCAGGTCAAGCAGTTTACCACTTCACTTTTCACTTTTCACCATCTTCCTGCTTTCTGTGTTCCATTCTCTCTTGTCTACCAATTTCCCACGGCGAGCATGACTCTTTGCAGCTGTGCTGCCATATTTTCTCAGTTCCCAAACCTCTTCTCTCCTGTCCTCTCCTCTTCTCTGCAGCGACCGGAGGTGGTTGCGACGAGAGCAACGACTCCAGCAGCAGCAGCAGCAGCAGCAGCAGCGGCAACGGAGCAACCAGGAGCACGGGCAGCGGCAGGGCGCTGCTTGGGGCGAAGGCTTGGCGCAGCAGCAACAGAGCAGCCTGGAGTAGCACGCTAGCAGAGAAGGCGTGCTGCAGGCAGAGCGGCAGGGTGGCAGACGGAGCATGGTACGTGCCAGGGGGTGCTTGGTGGGGGGCCGTGAAGTGAGTCGTAAGGCGTCGCCGCGCAGAGGCAAGAGTCGTGTCTGTTGCTTTTGCCTCCACCACTCGCCTCCTCTCCTGCTGCTTCTAACCCTCCCTTGTTGCATCGCTTCTGTGTGGCTGTCTCTTTCCTCGTGCGTGTGTGTTCCTCACGGCCTGCGAGACGGAGGGGGAGGGAGCGGACAGGGAATGGACGAGAGGCAACCATCCAGCGAGGAGGAACGGCGCCTTAATTCTCCTGCTAAGTTTCTTCCAGTCAAGAGGTAACCGGGAGTTCAGATGCACCATGCATGGCATTCTATCTCAGTCCCTTCTCCAGCCTTCGTCTGCCATCTCATCCACTCGCTTGTCCTCTTCTTGCTCAGGCCTTGCTTCCTCTTCCTTGCCTTCCTGCCTCCCCTCGCCTCCAGCACTCAAGGGGCAGGGATCACCAGTGGCTGCAGCAACGCAGGTATTGCAGCAGCTGAGGGATGATGGCAAGCACACAAGGGGTTGTGAGTCCATCAGACCAGCCAGTACACCGCTTCTCCATTCGCTGTGTTGTTGCGTTCTCGTGTGCAGTGCGGTCATGTCTACCATCTCCGCATGGTGACCACATCTCTTTGCTGGTGTCTTCCAGATTTTCGTGGCACTCCTCTCAGCTCCCAAACCTCTCCACTCCTATCGTTTTACTGTATGCAAATATCACGATCTCTTGTCTCGCTCCTCCCTCCCTGGCCAGGATGATGGGCAGTCCAGTCCAGCACGCAAGGAGTTGCGATTCCATCAGACCAACCAATACACCGCCTGGAGCACCACGCCTGGATCACCACGCCTGAAGTGAGGGCGTGGCGCAGGACTGGGAGAGCAGCGAAGAGAGCATGGTACGTGCCAGGGGGTGCTTGCAGGGGGGCTTCTGTGTGCGTGTCTCTCCCATGTGTGTGTGTCTCTCTCTTTCCATGTGTGTGTGTCTCTCTCTCCCCATGTGTGTGTGTCTCTCTCTCCCCATGTGTGTGTGTCTATCTCTCCCCATGTGTGTGTGCCTGGTGGCATGTGAGACGGAGAGCAATGGCAGCATGGGGACGCCTGACGGGAAGGCATGGCCCAGAGCAGCACGCCTCAAGTGAAGGCATGGCGCAGGCGTGGGCGAGCGGCAGACGCAGTACGTGGTACGTGCCAGGGGGTGCTTGCAGGGGGGCCGTGAAGTGAGTCGTAGGTGTCGCCGCGCAGAGGCAAGAGTCGTCTCTGTTGCTTGCGGGTCCACCACTCGCCACCCGCTGCTTCTAACCCTCCTTTATTTCGTACTTCTGTGTGTGTGTCTCTCTCCCCATGCGTGTGTGTGCCTCACGTCCTGCGAGACGGACGGGAATGGCAGCGAGTGGACGGGGACTGTGCATGTGCGTGTGGGGGGAAGGGGGGAAGGGGGGTTTGGGGGCGTGCATGTGTGCGTGTGCGGGTGTGCATGCCTGTGAGTGTGCCTCTCAGCCTTCAAGCTCTGGAGTGTGGCGGATTGCTCTTTGTGAACCTGCCTGCCCTTCGGTGGGGCCAACAGGATTTTCTTCTCTATTAAGACAAGAGGTAACTTGGAGTGAAGATGCAGCAGCAGGGCAAGTGCAACGTGCGTTGCTTTTTGTCCTAGTCCCTTCTCCAGCTAGCATCTGCACTTTCACATCCTCACGCCTCTTTTCCTCTTCCTTGCCATCCCTTCTCCGTGTGCAATCAGTTTCCCCCATCAGTTTCCCCATCCGTTTCCTCCATCAGTTTCCCCATCAGTTTCCCCATCAGTTTCCCCATCAGTTTCCCCATCAGTTCCCCCCATCCGTTTCCCCATCAGCTTCCCCATCAGTTCCCCCCATCAGTTTCCCCATCAGTTTCCCCATCAGTTTCCCCATCAGTTTCCCCATCAGTTTCCCCCATCAGTTTCCCCATCAGTTTCCCAATCAGTTTCCCCATCAGTTTCCCCATCAGTTTCCCCCATCAGTTTCCCCATCAGTTTCCCCCATCAGTTTCCCAATCAGTTTCCCCATCAGTTTCCCCATCAGTTTCCCCCATCAGTTCCCCCATCAGTTTCCCCATCAGTTTCCCCATCAGTTCCCCCATCAGTTTCCCCATCAGTTTCCCCATCCCCCCATCAGTTCCCCCATCAGTTCCCCCATCAGTTTCCCCCATCAGTTTCCCCATCAGTTCCCCCCATCAGTTCCCCCCATCAGTTCCCCCCATCAGTTCCCCCATCAGTTCCCCCCATCAGTTCCCCCCATCAGTTCCCCCCATCAGTTCCCCCCATCAGTTCCCCCCATCAGTTCCCCCCATCAGTTCCCCCCATCAATTCCCCCCAGAGTCTTTGCTGCTGTGCTGCCATGTTTTCATGCCACTCTTCTCAGCTCCCAAACCTCTCCTTTCCTGTCCTCTCCTCTTCTCTGCAGCAACACGTGGTGGACGGGCAACAACTGCAGCAGCACCACCAACGGAGCAACCTGGAGCACGGGCGGCAGCAGGGCGCTGCTTGGGGTGAAGGCTCTGCACGGGCCATGCGTGTGTGTGCCTCACGGCCTGCGAGCATGGGCAGCCGGAGCAACGGAGCAACCTGGAGGGAAGCTCCAGGCGTTAAGGGAAGGCGTGGTGCAGGAGTGGCAGAGCAGCGGACAGAGTGTGGTACGCGCCAGGGGGTGCTTGCATGGGGGAGTGTAGAGAGTCGTTGAGCGTCGCCGCGCAGAGGCAAGAGTCGTGTCTCTTGCTTTTGCCTCCGCT